CGTATAGCCTGATTATATCATCCGTACGGCCTAGGTACCTAGAATTCTGCCGGTATCTACCGGATTACACTTATTTAGACCTATTTCCTTACGAATATAACAAAACATGCTCTACCAAGATTATACTATCGTGGGACTCTCTAGGCTGATATTGCTATTAGCCCGATCGTCTGTCCTAATATTAGCCTCGATAGGGTCGGAAACTGGTATTTCCCTATCGCCCTTCTCGTCGCTATAGATCTCTCTTATAGAGCCTATTATCGTACTTAACCACGATCTTAATAAGAGTACTAAGATCCTTAGGTTAGTTAATTCGTATAAGCTCGTCCTTGATATTGTCCTTAAGTCCTTGCTCAAAGAGCTAAATATAGGTATCTTCGTCTAGGTCGAGATATAAAATAATTTGTTAGAACTCGGCGGCGTATACGCTAGCTAATCTAACCTACCGGAGCCGGTCTAGCTTTTGTTTAGCCGTTCTAACCGTATTAATATCTCTAAATATCTATTCGAGTTGTTTCTTAAACTAAGTATATAATTAGAAGATAGTCTTAGTAATATCTCCCTAATCGTTATATAGTTTTTTGTTAAATTCTCTAATATAGGGTTTAAACTAGTTAAATACCTACCTATAGAGATAGGTAGAAGCGTAGATGACCTTATCGGCTTCCTCTCTATAGTTAATTATACGGAGCTATATATCTATCTAAGTTAGGAAAGGGCAAAGCTTAGTTCGCTCTCTATAGAAGAACTTAGGCTTAGGTAGTTTAATAGTTTACTAGTTAGTTCTTCTCTCGGTAAGAAGTTATTCCTAGAGCTACTCGATTATAGCGAGTAGCTAAGTATTATTTAGTACTATAGGGATAGACCTGCTCGAAAGGTTACTTACGGTACTATCGTTAGGTACTATAATAACTTTGCTTCACGGTTAAAGATAGGGCGATTAATATATTACGCGTAGCCGACTAGTTACTATAAGTAGAGCTTTAAAGGGTTATACTTGCCTAGTCCTACTACGGATTCTAAGAGTATCTCGTAACCGTACCGCTACTATACTAAGCCTTACACGGACTCGGGTCCTATTAAGTATCTTGTAGAATATACTAGAAGTACGCGCTAAGTAAGTTAGTTACTAAGTATCGCTACTAAGTAAGCTCCCCTACTTGTAGGTTAGGTTATCTTAAAAGGTAAAATATAAAGTACAAAGTACTAAAGGTAGTAACTAAGTAATAATATAAGATTAATCGCGAAGAACTAAATATATAATACTAAATAAGTGTCCTTATATATCTAGTCCTTCGTGGTATAGTCTATAGTTAGGTGTAGGGTATAGTATACTAGACTACCTATTCCTATAGTCCTAGCAGTATACCCGACTATATACCCTATTATCATGTGTTTAGTAGCGGCCGGTTCCTGAGTCGTACTAACCGTCTAATCGTATAAGCGAGTATATAACGGCACGGTTAGGTATAGGCTAGTTATGGCTCCCTGCCTAACTGTTTTACCTATAGCCTCCGGGGGCGTGCCTGGGTATTAGGAGTTGCACGTGACGGCGCTAATGCAAAGCGTCTAGGGAACGATTGGGTCTCGGTTGCCCCTCAACTAGCTGCGGCCCTCCTACGCCTCGAGGTTCGTAACACTATATAGCACTAATACACTCTTTGAAATAGGCCTATTCTACTTCTGATCTTCCTATTTGTATAAGGTCTGGATATATACGGAAAAGTTAGCGCTTAAGCATGTTCTAGACCGGTTTAATAGGGTTTAGATCAGGAGAGTACGCAGGCCAATCTTCAACGTATATCCTATACTCTTCAAACTAATCCTGCGTATCCTTCGCGATATAAATCTTTACGTTATCTTGCTGAAATATTATTCCAGGTTGATAGATTAGAAGGAGACCTTCTTCGAGCGCTTCTATATAACTCTAACGTGAATATCCGCCTCTTTCAGAGGATTCATCCCGTTCTATAATAACTAACTTTAATCGACCTCCAAGCTAGATTACAGCCTAAACTATCTACGAAATATCCTTTATATAAATCTTAGGATTCACAAGATCAATCCGGTATGCTTCGGAAGCAAGCCGCCAGCACTATTATAGCCTATTATTCGAAGTTCGTTAACGGAACACTCATCGGAGAAGATCTAATTTCGAAGCGCGGAGATTATATAAAATTCGGAGCGCTAGCAGCGAGCAAATCTCTTTCGTTTAAACGCAAGAACCCTACCGATAGGGATCTTACGCTTTGCGAGGCGCCGAATGATCCCCGATTGCTTTAAAATCCGTCGAATCGTATTAACTAATAGAGTACTAGTCACCCTACTTACTAGGGCTCGATAGGACTAAAAAGGGTTCCGGCGGGCGTATATTTTAATTAAATAGCGAGATCGGGTGTTAAACTTAGGGGGTCGGCCGCTGCGAGGGCGTGATTTCGTATCGTTACGTTCCTGCTAGCGCTTAAAGGTATTAGCTATTGTATTACAGTAGCAACTAAACTCCTTAGCTAACTTAGCCTAGCTCGAAAGCCTATTTTCGAGAGCGTATATAATTGCAGTACGCTGCTTAGCCGAAAGTTCAGCCCCTTCGCTACGATTTGCACTAATTCGTATGGCGATTAGAGCTATAGGGGTAGTATAGGAGGAAAAACAAGATTGTGGGTGGTTGTTAGGGTGATGGGTAGTAGGGCTGAGTGCACACAGACTTTTGGGCGGATGGTGTATTAAGCTCTATAAAAGATTTAGAGTAACTAGTATATCTATAGTTATTGTTAGACTATATTAGATATTAGCAATCCTAGTCGATAACCCCGAGGGAGGCCCCTAAGGAGGTACGAATAAAGACTGTAATAAGAACTGCTTATACTAGAAGTTGTATTTCGGTTAGTTTACTAAGAGAGTTTTAAGCAATAGTAGATATTGATAGGGGGTATATAGCTCTTTACAGTTAAGCTATATAAGGTAAGTAAGCTACGATACTATTCTTGACCCCTGAATTGACCCTTATTAAATGATTACAAACACTTAGCGCGCCCTAGTACTCCGTATAGTATACTACGAGACTACGAGAGTCTAGGCGGGTCCTTAGCGGTTGAATTCTGATACCTAGGAGATATTTACGTGGAAGAGTCCGACCCTAAATTACTCTACCTAGAAAGCAGCCTTTGCTTATTCTACCTATAATTATTAAAACGGATCCCTGCGACTACGAAAACGGATCCCTGTAACTACAAAAACGGATCCCTGCGATACCCAAACACTAAGACTCTCTTTCTCGGCCCCACCGCTAAGGCCTTAGCGTAGAACATAACGGAGAATGCAATATCTGCACCGTTAGGAAAGCGCACGCAAAACTATAACGTACTGCATAGTATAATCAATGCTTGAAATATGGCGATCGCACGAGTATACACCCAGCATTACCTTACATTCGTACCCCGCTTTGAATAGTCGATAACGTATAAACGTCGTTATAACCTTATCTATATATCCTATTTGCGGTATATATATATATATATATACAGTAATAGTAGAAAACCTAGAGTTATCCTACTGAAATAAGGTCCTTAAATATTCTCATAAAGTAAATTTCTCGCCTTATACGTTTCCTCCGTGATGCTTAGTGACACCGCCTCTAAACTTGCCGTGCTTATTAACGCGGATAATACACGATTCTCTACTATTAATCTTGTCCTCTCCGAAATCGCAAAATATAGCACAGCTCAGACGAAACGAGCTTATAGAGACTAGAGCAGCCCTTATTTAAAGGGCTAGAAGGACAAGCTTCTTGAACAATCGATCCAACCGGTCCAACAATTCGCTTATACCTATGGTAAAAATGCGACCGACTCGGCGATGATAATAGACGTAATGGATCTCTTGTATTCTAATCGATATGAGATTCGTTCTGATTATTGCAGTAATCCACTTAACAGTGAGAGCGTTTCTCGGTATCGGAATACCGCAGCGTATTCTATCGTTGTCTCTCTGAAAACCCTCGGAAATTACCGGAATGAGTCACCACATAAGCAAAGAGTATCTTCTCTCCAGGTAGTCTAGGGTTATCAACCTTAGCTTATTATGAAAACCCAGAAGATATGGGCTTCCTCATCCTAGATATCCTTCCGAAAAGGACTCCCTTAATTGGAAAATCAACCAGGCAGGGTCTGGGTGGCTGAGCCTTGGCAACTATTTTGGGTATTCTACCGTCCTAATCAAGGCCAGGAAGGTGCTAGAGCCTCAAAATGGTTTGTGAATGCTGCGGCCTGCATACCATTCGAATATTATCGGGTTAGTAGAGGCATTTTATGATAATAGCGTGATATAGAAGACCTCTCCCATATCCTTCGATATTACTATCCTGAATCTCCTGCTGTAGGACCTCTCTTATCTGGTCTTCTTGCAATCGTTGAGCCTCAGGACCATCCATACGTCGCCGAAGACCTAGCTACTGCCGTAGCCTTCTTAAAGTATCCTAGGAAATTTAGAAGCCCCCGCGATGAAGCATTAGAAGAATCTCTCTATCAGAGAGATTATCGTACACAAGAGATTGAATACGTTCGCAGAGAGCGTCATTATCAAATGTCTTCGAGGGTAGACGGCGTAGGCCCCATTGCTAAAGGCGCCGGGCGAGTGTTGGATATGTAATATCGATTGAATAACGCCGGGTAAGTTCTAGGCGAATAGCCTCATTAGTCTTTTGCTGATTGAAAAGGGTGGTAATCTCATCTTTATAAGTATCAAGATCGATCTGAGGGCGTACCATCTTTAGTATGTAAACCAGAAATCAAGAGTGAGGATAGGATTTGATATTAGAAGTTAGATACGCATAGATGCAAGTTTTAAGTACACGGTCGGGCCTCGATAATCATAACGTGACGATGATAGTAAAAGCCAAATTAGTATACTTTTTACTAGTAAATCAGGCTACAGAAAGCATCATTCCGCTGGAAGTGATGAGCTTGCAGCATGTAACGCAGCTTGATCGGTGTGATTAGAGGCTACTGCATAGGCACGAGGCCAATTGAACACGAGGGCGGAAGAAGAAGCGGTGAAGGCACTTAGTAGAATTTGGGGTTATGGCATAGTCCACCCTATAGTCCGCCGTACTGGAGTCCGTTGCAAGCATCTGGAATTCATCCCATAGAAAGATAGCCATCTAGTCGAGGTACAGACCAGGCTTTTCGAGCAGATGATTGTACAGCACTTCTTGATCAGTCTCACTACTAATTTTCGTAGCCAATTCTGTATTCCTTGCTCTCGTCTTTGTCGTGGTCCTGCTCGTGGTCCTTGTCATGATCCTTGTCGAGGTCCTTGTCATGATCCTTGTCATGGTCCTTGTCATGATCCTTGTCATGGTCCTTGTCATGATCCTTGTCATGGTCCTTCTTGTGGTCCTTGTCATGATCCTTGTCGTGGTCCCAGTCGTAGTTCTGGTCCTGACGCTTGTAATAGTCCTTGTCGAGGTCCTTGTCATGGTCCTTGTCATGGTCCTTGTCATGGTCCTTGTCATGGTCTTTGTCATGGTCCTTGTCATGGTCCTTGTCATGATCCTTGTCGTGGTCCCAGTCGTAGTTCTGGTCCTGACGCTTGTAATGGTCCTTGTCGAGGTCCTTGTCATGGTCCTTGTCATGATCCTTGTCATGGTCCTTGTCATGATCCTTGTCATGGTCCTTCTTGTGGTCCTTGTCATGATCCTTGTCGTGGTCCCAGTCGTAGTTCTGGTCCTGACGCTTGTAATGGTCCTTGTCGAGGTCCTTGTCATGGTCCTTGTCATGGTCCTTGTCATGATCCTTGTCATGGTCCTTCTTGTGGTCCTTGTCATGATCCTTGTCGTGGTCCCAGTCGTAGTTCTGGTCCTGACGCTTGTAATAGTCCTTGTCGAGGTCCTTGTCATGGTCCTTGTCATGGTCCTTGTCATGGTCCTTGTCATGGTCTTTGTCATGGTCCTTGTCATGGTCCTTGTCATGATCCTTGTCGTGGTCCCAGTCGTAGTTCTGGTCCTGACGCTTGTAATGGTCCTTGTCGAGGTCCTTGTCATGGTCCTTGTCATGGTCCTTGTCATGGTCCTTGTCATGATCCTTGTCATGATCCTTGTCATGGTCCTTGTAGTAGCCCTTGTTGTGGTCTTTATCATGATATCCACCACGAGCAAGATGGGTATCATGACCCTCAATTGGACTGGCAATGACGCTCATGGCGAGGATAGAAGTGACGAGGGTGGTGCAAAGACGCATTTTGTTGAATTGAAGAATAGTTGTATGGAGTTTCACACAGATATCTAAGATAATAATGGCAAAAGATAATATTGGAGCTGGGCTGCAACAATATGTAAAAGTCAGATGAGCTGCACTTTACAGCAGTTTCCTCTGGAGATTCTAACACCATTTTATATGCATTATAACTACTGGGTAGTACAGTAACTCAGCTTTAACTAAGAAGAGAATAATGAAGATGAAATTGTGACAATGACAGAAGCAAATAGGGGTAGGAATGAGACATTCCAACACAAATGATTCAATTGTAATCAGACGATGCTGTTTAAAGAGCATTTTAACCTGGGATTGATACTACTAGCATATGACAAGCCAAATGGCGTGGTCCCTCAAAAACTTAAGGGAAGTGCCTCAGGAATGCAGGGTATATTTAGTCCGCGGTGGACGAAAAAGCATGATGATAGTTTATTCAGATTGGACAGAAGATACAATATTTTAGTGGGCCTAAAATAGTCAGTTATGGAAAATTCTTCATTAAGTACTGTCACGTTATCTTACATTCAATCCTTCCGTTCTAACTTGACATTTTCTAGGCCGGCCTGTGCACCGCATCATTCTTGAGCACCGGAACAAATAACCGGCCCTTTCATAAATTACCAGTTATTACAGATCCTCGCCTATAATAAATGGTAATTTATGAATGGGCTGGTTAGCACAATCTATAAGTGAGTGGCGCCCTTCACGTGTTCGTGCCTGAAGTTAGTATACTATTTATTTAAGTATACTATTATTTTAAGATACACTACGAGATTTGTCTAACTATATTATATGTAAATAAATTAGAGCCCAATTTTAGATATGGCCTTAGACAACACTTGTATCTTTACTGAAGTCTAGTGTGGTTAGGAGTATAAGCCCTCACCTGATGATAATTACCATACCCATGACTACTCCAATCCTAATATGAACAGGAAGCCTGATTTTCGCCTATTTTCTTTGTAAGAGTTTCCATGCTTGTAGAAAGCTACTTACTAAGGTATTGAAAAGGCATCTCGGACAGTGGGAAATCCTCAGAGTCCGAGCACGACAGAAGTTACCTCGTCCATCCTCTGCATTGTTCCGGCACCGACGTTACCTGGCAGTTGAAAGAGATAGACGGTCGTAAGCGGTGTCCCTTGCTTCTTCAGTTCCCAGCATATGATGGCTGGGGTATGGATGATGCGCCCATATACTACAGTGTGGTATTCGCAATAAGTTGTGTGTACTGTATATGTTTTGGCTGTACTCAATTTCATCATGTGTGTTAACCCTTGCCTTACGACCCGCTACAAATAGCCTTCATGATCACGGTCAGTGTTGGATGAATTTGGACCCCTGACTTACTAAACCTATGTTACAGGCCAATAAAAACAGTTCAGGAAACGTCATCAAAGCTAGTTATATGGTGGTAATGAGTAAGCCACCGGATCGTCACTGGAAGGTTCAGAAACGCTCTGCTCGCCGTGACATTTCAACGAATTCCTTGAATTTTGGAAGCTCATCCTGAACATTCCGGAAATAGGCGTGTCAATATCCTGTTTCTAATGTGGGCGCCGACTTCATGTTGTACCTTATTCCACAGGATCAATAGTTCGGCACCCACGCTCATACGTATGTGTGAATTCCGCGGCAATATCGGAGCTGTGGTCCGCCAGTCACATTGATCAAAATTATCCATATCTTTCCAGGTCTCCACCTTTCAAAAGTCGACATGGGATACAGTGTCGCCGCAGGATATTTCATCGAGAGGTAGAGCTCATAATATGTCCCCTTTCGCATGAGATCTATAGTGTGTAATAACTCTACACAAGCTACGACGTTACACTGGGCTGTAGTGTCTATCCCGACGGTCAACGGGCGGGCTGGACCTCGTTTCTTTCTCTCCGACGAACCTAATTGCATACCATCTTTTGCAGAACCTTACGGTCGGGGCTACTCAAGTAGGCTGACTATTGGACGGAAGACGGATTATAGGACAACCTCCAAAAATCTTTCTATCCTAGCAGCAACGTTTTAAAAAAAAATTTTGCCCAGAAATCTTCTCAACATTTTTTGATGAAATAGTTTGATATTCAAAAGTCCATTGCGCTTCGCCACCGTAACGAATAAATCGATATATACGTCGAGATCTAGAGCAGGTATGATAGGGGACCTAGGGATGAAATGTTCAGGACACTCTAGTGCTTTGCTTTTCCAGAACTTTAGACGTAACAAGTTGAAAGATATTCACTCAAATTCTATATCCGATCGTATCAATTGACTAATATTAGGATAGCTACCTATTTGGCCACTATAAAATTCCTAAACTAAAGCTAGCTATATAAAGCTGTACTTCAATCAATCAATCAATCAATCAATACTCTATTAACCTGATGCAGCCTAACTAGTGGCGTAATGGCTATGCAGGCGCTTCCTCCGGCGGAAGCAAGAGTATTCCGAACGCCAGACCCGCGCATGAAACAGTAGATACATAGGAAATCGGCGTATTGCTATATAAAATCAGCCCGAAAATCACCCAAAATAGTACCGAAACGCCCGCAATACCCTCAATCCCACGATATATCTCTTAATTTGCCCTTATAACGGCCTGCTGCTTCCTCTGTATCTCTATCTCTGCTTTCTCTCTCTAGCATCCATATCCTCCTGCTTCGTTCTCAATTAGTGGCGTTTATCGTCGACTGGCGTGTTGATATGTTGGATGTATTCTTCCAAGACCTCTCGGTCGGCCGTAGGTTTGGCGTTCCTCCTACCTATCGTCTTCACTACCTATACCTGCCCGTCTTCTGGGCTCGCTGGTTTCGTCGCCTGTTAGTTCTAGTTCGATTTCGACGTGTCGGAATTGCCCTAGGAGGCCTGTTTGTAATATAAATTCGGCCACGTAGCGGGTAGCCTACGAGTACGATATAATTATATCGTAATCCGTCGAATCCCTAAGATTAGTCGCCCTAACCTTATTAAGGAAGGCCTTCCTTAGATTAGCGTATAACGGGCACTGTATCAAGACGTGTCTCGGCGTTTAAGACCCTTCTCTATAGTAACACTAATCTAATTCGACTGCCTTGATTTTGTATAAGAAGTAGTTTAGTGTAATACGTATTAATCGTATCTAAATCAGAATCGAGGTATATAGCTTTAATAGAGATTTAAATAGCCGAAGTACCTTCTTATCCGGAGCCTTCACTAATCGCTAGTTCGGCTTACTAGTTGCCTCCTTAGCCTATTCTTGTGCCTACCTCTCCTTAATATACCGCTGTATACGATACTTCGCGGTTAATACTAGAAGGACACGATTACTAGAGGACCTACTATACGCCGAATCACCGGTAGTTAGTTAATCTACTCCGTTCTCTATACCTCCGGTTACTGCTAACTTTGCTTTAACGTTAGTAGTCTCGTTGCTAGGAATACCTACGTATACAGGGATCTAACGGATCTCGATAGGAATCTGATCGAACGTAGGCGTTTACGATCGAAGGGCTCGTACGTGATTATATATAGCAAGGAGCACGTGCTAGCCCGACGATCGCTTAGGATTTTGTACCGCTTAGATAGCGGTCTAGTAATCTAAGAAGATAACTAGCTTTATAGGCCTCTAGTCGTCTCGTTAGTAGTTAATAAATCTAGTAAGCGCTATTTTAATACCGTTAAGCTCGGCAACGTATACTATTAAATCGTCGGTGGTTCTAAGGTAGTGCTATATAAAAATACCTTTACGCAGGGCGACGGCTAACGTACCTACTATTCCCTCGTACCTACTACTATCTATAAAGATAAGGACCGTTCGGGGGCGGTCGTATAAGAGGGCCTAATAGAATAGTAATTCTATCTTAATCTTGTTATATAAGGCTCGCGCGGCCTCTATATCCTCGATCACGTATAGGATCCGTGCCTCCTATAGTGCTAGAACGAACGCTTTCCGGGACTCCTAGGTCCCTTATTAGTTAAGGATCCTATCCTTCTTCTATCTAAGGGCTTCGAGAGGGCTCTATCTACCCTCCCTACGTTCCTAGGGCGAACGCTAGCGGGTATTAGGGCGTATACTATCAGGTTAGGCCTATATAGTACCTATTTGGATTCGGATTGCTAATTCCTGGATAAGTTAGTCTATAAGTAGGTATATTAGTATTAAGAAGAGCTTAATATTAAGAGCTGCCGTACTAGTAGATTTAAAGGCTCTACTAATAAGGATCGCTATACGTTGCTAGATCTTAGTAAATTTATTAACTATACGCTTTATCTCCTAGGCGGGCATAGATCTTACAGCAGGGCAATACTATATAGATACCCTGTAGAGTATCTACGGCACTACTACTACCTAGTAGACCTTCCGTATAGCTATTAAGGAGGCCCCCTATACTAATCTAGTTATCGCGCGTAGGGCTTCAAGGCTTACGTTAGCCTTAGTAAGGAGCTTCCTCCTATATATATCGAATTCAAGGTGTTTATCGAGCTAGATACCTAGGTATTTAGCCGTCTCCGCTAGTTATATTAATTAGTTATTATGCTAAACAGGTATCTAGTCGTTACCCTGCGGGTATACTATTTCGATATCGTAGATATCTATATATATATTGTCCTAGGTATCGTCCTAGGTATCGTCCGAGTTAGGATTAGTGAAATAGATTAGTTCGAACTTATCGGGTACGAACCTTGCTATATAGCGTCTAGCCTATAGATCTACCTTACCTAGCACTTTCTCTAGTATCCTTACGTTAATATAGTATAATTCCGACTTAACTAGGGTTGCTATATTATCTACCTATCTAAAGCCGACGGACTAGGCTTCGCCTATACTAAGGCTATACGCGGAGACTAGTAGTATATTAAATAGTAGGAACAGGATTAGCGAAATTAGCGATCCTTATAGGATTCTAGTAGGCGTAGAGAAGCTATCCGATAGATAGCCTAGTAATTTAATACGAGTGCTCCTACTACTAAGGAACGATACGATCTATAGAGCGAACTAGCCTAACTAGAGCCGT